GGGGGGGGGGGGGGGGTCACTCGGTCGCTGCGCTCACTCGGACAGTTAAAAACGAAAATATCCCCCGATTAGCTACGCAACACCACACCAAATAGGTCACAGGACAAAAAAAAAAAGATTACGAGCGGGAATCATACGAAACGGCAACGCGAACCGTAGATGTAAAGTATGCAGGGAGAAAGAACTGTTGATCAAAAGTGTGCGTTTTTGAACGGTCGAACTTTCAAATTTCTTTTTTTAACAATAGAATAAATGTGTGCGGTATTGAACGATGTAAAATGTTACCGTACATGTACGGTAAGTGTGCGGTTTCGATGACCGCCGCAATCGGCAACGTCGCGAATTGGTTTCGTGCGGAATCGCGTTGATGAAAGCGCGTATGGCGGTATCGTACGTTTCTCGCACCGGGTACAAACGGTTTGATCATTCGCCCGGTTTTTTTTTTTTCACTCGCCAAACCCGTACGACGTGACCGCCCGCTAACGCGATCGTGTCACCGCACCACGGCCACCCCCGTCGCGTGACGATGCGCATTGCGTAGGGCGCGTACGCGTAACGCACGGTGTACGGTGGCGGCGGTGGTGGGAGGGCGGCGAGTTGACCGGTAGAGACGGGAACGAGAGCGATCGTCAGGGCGGGGTGCAGCGCCATTACCTCGACCGGATCGAAGGCGCCCGGTAACCGGACCTGGCCGAACGGCGACATGGGCGTGGACGGCGTCAGCGACGACGAGGCGCGCAGGTGGTGTTCCACGGACGCGGGCGCGTACTGCTGCTGGTGCTGCTGGAACCGGCGCTGGAACTGCTGGTGGATCAGCGCGTCCGCGTCCGCCGTGTTCCGGTGCTTGTGCTTGTGCCGCCTGCTGGCCAACGACGCGCCACCGGCCGCCGCGTACATGGTGCCGACCGCTCGCGGGAACCCGGTGCTGCGAGAACGTCCCTGTCGCCGTCGTCCTCGCCGTCCGCGCCACCGCCGACGCCGCCGCCGCTGTTTTCCGCCGCGTAAGCTCCGTCACGCTTCTGGAACAATGACAAACGCGCCGTTAGGTCTAAGCGCCAACGTCGTTGTCGGTAAAACGGTTACGGTTTGCCGTCGACGCGACACTATCCGGTCACAAGCTACAATAATAACTAATAACTACGGTGCAATTGGGACGGTGCGGTGGGACGCTGCAGTCGCGTCGACGGTCTAACCGACCCGTACGCGTTGTGTCTAACAGACGTAGTGCTTGCGTTCGGTAAAACCGATTCCGCGCACGGTGTATTTTCATTTTCAAGCCAGTTCTATTTTTCCCCCCCCGTTTTCTTCAATTCTAATTATCAATATCTTACATACTTATGCTTGGAAAAGAAAATATCCAAAGAAACACCGACCGACAACATACTGTTTTTCCCGTTAAGCTTGATAGTAGACCGGGGTTTACTTTAGTATTGAAATTAACAACACACGATTGGGTCTATTGGACGCAGATTTGCTGGATTGTAAGTTTGTTGGACGAAAGCTGCATCTTTAGATGAGCACCGTCAAACTCGGAGATGAGATTTTTTAATTGTACCGCCGCACGATACCGCGAAAGGAAAATTACAATTTAACCTTTGGACCGATAGTATAAGTAACTATATATATTAAAGCGTATAGTATTTTACAAGTTATACAGTACACTTTTACGTTAACGTTCGAAAATATGATAAAAATTTATATAAAACTATAAGCTCCCTTTGTAGTTAATGACTTTTTTCGCTTCAACTTCTGTCGCATGTTTTTCTATTCAACAACCTTTTTTCATTGCTAAAAAATCTAATAACATAATTTGATTTTGTTATTTCCAAGTTTAAAAGGTTTTCAGATTTTGTTTAACGTGCTTATTTTTCTTACGTTTTTATATATTTTGAACGAAAAGTGAAAAAAAAATATACTTTTACTTTTTATGCACGATGCATAACACGATGGCTCTTAACATTTGTATAATTGAATACTTCAAACACAGAGATTTTCATAGGTTTTCATTACAACCAAATATGTCATAATTTATAGTTCAAAAAGGAAATAATGCTACCAACTGTGAATAACTGATGATTTAAACTTCAAAGCGATCGTTGATTATTTTCATATTGGATTGTGATCAAACCGATATGACTGCAAGAGTCATTCGAAAATATTTAATACCAATCATAATAATTATTATTTATAAGCTAAATTTATAACGAAAGGTAAAAAATGTATCATAAAAAAGTATACCAACTCTATTATAAGTAATTGAATATATATTCTTTCTGAAGTTATATTAATTGAAACTTTAAAATTCCACTTTTGATTGTCAATGAGGTAGCTAAAATATGATTGGCGAAATACAGGATGTAATGAACATAGTACATTATAGTATTGATTGTACGTTTTAAAAGCAAGACATCAAGTGGTCTTCACGTTTCGTGAGAAGAAAAAAAAAGAAACCGCTTGAAAAGTCATATTATTGAAAATGGAAGGTAGGAAACCACATGGCACTTACACCAAGGAAGGATTGGATCGATTTGGAAGAGAAGTTAGGATATTAGGGTAAAGGTATAACATATACATATAATGAAAATACATAATTCAAGCTAGAGAAAAGTGAAGAGGTTAATTTGTGGTGGTGGTAATACTTTCAAAGAGTAACAGTGCCACAACTACACTAATTTGAGCCCGTGTGTAAATAAAATGTAATGCCCCCCTCCTCGTGTCCGGACTCTGCAGGGAAACAGTACTCTAAATTAATTGTAACAAAACTATTTTGAATTTTAATTATAGAGGCCGCAAAAGGAACGTTGATGTACGATAATGTGCATAAAACAAAATCAATCAACAATATTTTTCCATCTCCATTAATGATTATTATTACAAAATGGTTTTATTTTCTTGCTTTCTACATGCTTTTCAAATATTATCACTGGGCCCTATTATCCTATTACAATTGTGACAAACACACCCGGTTATTGCGGCACTTAAAAGTAGATAAGCCTGAGGAGACATAATATCATAAAAAGAGAGTGCGGTTGTCATTTGTGAGCTGTTGTCGGTAGTTTTGACTTTATCGTGAAATGTTCATATTGTTAGTGTTAATATGTTTATATATATTGATGTTTTTGGTGGTAAAATAATAACAAAATAAATTTACGTTTTAATAAAATATGAGTTGACCCATATTTATTATTATTACAAAAGATATTTTGGTTTAATAAATACAAGTATTATTTAAATATTTTATTTTGTTTTGATATAAATTTCTTAAGTTTATTGGTATTGTAAATTCAAACTATCCGACGTAGTTGTTTATTGAATAGCATACAGTGTCTTTTGACAACTCGTACGATGGGCCGCTCACTTTTAAATAAAAGCCGTTTCTCTCTTCTATGCATAATATATACGTATACATAATCTCGAAGTACATTTTTTTAATGACTCATAGAAGTTATAGAAGAAAAACTGTACGTGGGATGCTCTTTTCTTGCGAATACTTCGCGTTGTTTGAACCATATATAATTATCATAACCATATATTATAATTATAATTATATTATGATCTGAGGAATGTTATATGACGTAGTTTTAAATTTAAATTAACTAAATGATAAATAATTATTTGAAGTTCCAATAATGACGATAGGAACTCTTATTAAAATAAATACGCACTTTCATGGACTTCATTATATTGGGTTTATTCTATTACTATATATTTTGAAGGTTACAGGTCGCGTTTAAATCTGGAGAATCTGTCGAGTAGAAATTCAATATATGTTTGTAAGTTTTCAAAATTAAATCTTAACGTAAAAACTATCACACGTTGACGTTAGAGTTTTTTACATGTTTTAAATTGTATTTAGAGTACTTTTTTTTTTTTTTTATTAATTTTTTCTAGCAAGTAAAATAGTCATTATTCATGTACTCCTCTTCATAAATGATCATTTTTAGAATTAAAAGTTAATTTTAAAAACGAATCAAAAGATTTAACTTTTTTTCATGAACACAAATTAGAACGAAAAGTGTTATTTATGGGTGGTCTGTAATTTCAAAAATATAAACAATACTATGGTTTTATGTTGTCGAAATTATACTGTTAATATTGACGCGCAATTAACTGAACAGTTTTAATTTTGTTACTATTGCCGGACAAATAATGAACGTACCATATCTAAAAGTATTTTAATGTTATATTACATTATACTGTACGGTGTTAACAGATATTCTGATCTATCTTTTGCATTACATAAACTAAAACACGCTATTAATTTGTACGTGGTCGTGATTATCGGTTACGTAATACCCCTCCTGATGTTTTTATGAAAACTCCGAGCAATTTATAAGGAAATTTTATGTTTAACTTGTTAAGTCTTATAATTATAACATAATAATAGTAGGAGAATACTAGAATTTTTGAAAATTAGTTGGGGTACTCCATCCCCCTGCGTCTTCTCTCAAATCAAGCACAGACAATAATCTTATCTAAGATAAGTTATCATTCCGTCGAAGGTAGAACACTCAAACATTTCCGCAGATTTTCTATTATAATTATATTTATTCGCCAACAATATTATACGGAAATATTATATTAACAATATTATATTATAGTTTATCAGTAAGTTTATAATCACTATTAATATTCTTAGAAGTTGGATGGAAATTATGGTTTTATGAATTTATACACAAGTGATGATGTAGTTTAAATGTATATAGATATAATATGTTGTATAACATTTTTATTGCAAGAAAAAATCTTATTGAAAAAAAATTAAAAACGCAATTTATGCATATTTTAATTTTTAAACAAACCCAAAGGACCTAATCTCGATGTTTTTCTGGGAGAAGGTTATGGCCTCCCTTGTATTCGCTCCTGCAATAAGCTATATTAATTTCTTATAAAATTTAAAAAGAATTTGGTAACTTAAACTATTAGAAACATGAATATAATACATGAAATATTTCATTTAATAAAAAAAGGTTTTTATTTTGATATCTATTTTTTAATAATGAAGTTATAAATCTATATTAATTACTTGTATTTTTTAATATTGACCAATATGGATTTACTTTTAATAGAATCATAATACAATTATTCATTTATTAAACAATCGTCACTATGAACTGATAACCGACGAACGGATATACAGAACTGCGATTTATAAATTTGAATCTTATAGTAGTCTAAACTTAAAACCCTGTGATCAATCAATTCAAATTTTAATTTGGATATTAAAAAAATTATTATGTTAGATTTGTCATTGCTTTTAATATAATTAAAAATGTATAACACGTATATTTTGTATTCGTTGATTATTTTAGAGGGTGACACTACTTTAAAGATTACTTATACAAATTACATTAATAATTAATTTATGTATAAAATAATGCGCAGAATATGTATGTACTCTATATAGAAATTTAACATTTGATTTGAGCGATTCATTATAATACTTTAAAGTGGTTACAAAAAATCTACCGAATATGTACCCTAAGGATAAAAAATGTCTAAAAAATAATATTTTCGTCAAGAAAAATCACAAAAATCTATTATGTATTATATATTATATAACATATTTTACATTGCATATTAAATAAATATAGAAATTAACAATGCCGAGGTTCAAACAATGTATTTTAAGAATGATACACAATGGATTCTTTAATCAAATAACGCAATATTTTTTACAAAAGGTTCGCTCCCATACATTTTTTAAATTATATTTATTTATTTGGTTTAATTTTTTTTTTTTTTTAATCCCAACGAATTTCTTAAACCATACGGTCAAGCATTATTTTCAAACCTTGCTAAATATACATGGGCTACTATTCCATTAGTTTAAACTTTAAATATTTGAAGGCTTTTGTCCATCGTCCGATTTTTTATACATCGAAATTTCCAGTAGTATAATTTATTTCGGAACATGAAACGTAAGTTATCGTTTGAAAAAATAATAAAAACTTGTTTCTAGACCGTAACTATGATTGATGGTAGTACGAAATGTAAACGATGCGTGATAACGACGAGC